ACACTTGCTAAGAGGCTTGGAAGATGCATGAAGTTTTTAAAAAAAGAAAGACCCAAGCCTCAACTATTCTGACTGTAACCTTTGGTTATAAGATAGAGCAACACACAAGTACTCTTCCTTATTGCACTCTTCCTTATTGCACTCTGAGTCAAGTTTTCACATCTCTGTGTTTGGGTGGCATTGCTGATGCAGTGTTCCCTGGTCCTGTCCCATGCCATTCACTACAGTACAAAGAAAAATAAAACAAAAAGGACCATTTAATCTAGCACTGCCTTGAAATAAACTAGTGTGGAACTACAGTGTATATTCAAGCACCACGGTCCAGTCAAATCAGCAGATGGTAACACCCAAGTCTAAAATCATATTTAAAATTTTCTGGCTTAATTCTGTTTTAAACTGGTTTTGCTGAGTATACATACCAAAGGTAGGGGACAGCCAAGAACCTAGTTACTCTGCTTCATGTAAATTAAATGTGCCACCCCAAAGTATGGATAAACAAAATCAATGAAACAAGTTCAGTGGTTTACACTGACTTGTACTGAAGACAGGGTTTTAGCTGCACCCTCCATGAAACAAAAGGTGACACACACTGCAAGCCCTGGAATATAATCTCCTCACTCTGCATGGGCAGCTCAAACAGCTCCCACAGGGCAAGCACCTGCCTCATGCTTGTACTGTTTGCCCTTTCTTTTTATGTGTAGTAAAAAATATAAACACTATACAAGAGCTACAACAAAACAAACTACCAAAATTCAGCTACAGATGGTCAATCCTGTTTCTCCTCAAGTAGTTATTACCCGGATGCTGCAGGGAACTGTTCAGCTTACCATACTCTGTGAAACCAGGGCCTCTGTTTTTCCATTTGTGTCTTGTCATTGCAAGAGGGAAATTTCGCCTGGTCATAATCAGCATTCTAATAACTTTTTCTAAGCCATTAATTATAAAGTAGCCTCCCATTTCCTGGCAGGAGAAAAAAAAAATTTTATGTCCTTAGAAACTCAGAACTGGCACTTTAAGTAAAAGAAAAAAAAGCCTGTATTATACAGTAAAAACAAACACTTCACGTTTTAACTAGGAAACACATAGCAAGACATGTTTCAGCACTGCTTTTGGAAAGGCTGCACTCCTTACTAGTGACTTATGCAGTCTAAATGTAGCACAGAGTGCAAGGAAAGGGATGCATGTTCCACAATTTAGAGGAAGAAAAACATCCCCAAAACCTTTGTGGTCAAATGAACATCTTTGAAGAGCTAACATTAACTTTTTAAAATAAATGTTCTGAAGTTCTCATTTTGAGTTTATAAACCAGAGGGATTTTCAGAGCGAAACATCTCTATCTGGTCACCTACAAGCTAATTTTTCTGATTTTTTTTTTTTTTTTGTAGTTTGATCACTCATTTTGTGAGTGCAAAATGGAGCACTAAATAGCAGCAATTACAGACAGTCGACATGCTACTGGGGAGATGAGGAAAAAGCTGCAAAAGACAACTGGGAATGAAAATGTCTTTCAATGCCTGCTCTCCAAATCTTTGTCTCCACAGAGGCCTTCTCACAGCAACCCTCAGTTGCTGGGTAGCAGTTGAGAGGTATCGGCACTGCACAGATCCCTGTATTCAACAACAGCCATGACTGCAAATTTTTCAAGCTGCTTCATGGAACCACCATAATCAAGGTTCATACAGAGAAAACAGCACGTCAAACTTGAAACAAAATATAAACGCTCAAGCCCTGTAAAGAGAAGCTGGCCTGACAGACTGCTCAGATGAAATACAGATTTTCCTGATCCACAAAATCCTTGTTACCTCTTCCTCCTCATGGTGCTGCATGAGCTCTTGTGGAGAAAGACTATAGAGGTTGCACAATTTGGACTTCACCATGATAGGAATATACCCTAAGGGCTGTTTGATAGTCCCTTGTGGCATGCCATTTACTGACCAGCTGATGTCAGCCTGAAATGATACAACATGAACAGTAAGCAAATTAAGTTGCCCTTTTAATATTTTCTGCTATATTAATTGTATATTTCATATAACCACAGGTTTCAACCACAGTTTAACAGACTTCTATCACCGTAAAATGGTAGTAATAATAAAAAGCAGAACTAGTAGATACATGCATAAAGATTATACTCTGGAAAACAGTCAACATGGGTTTACAGAAGAAAATCATACAAGTCTAGAGCTAGGTAAAGAAGCTGCTAGGTGAGTGAACAAGGTTGGTATTATCTACTTTGCCTTTCAGATCCTTCAACACAGCAGCCTAAGTAAAAAAAGGCAGCCATGGGATAGGAAAGGAAACCTCAGAAGTTAACAGTTAAAAGAAGAAAACAGCAAGTGCTCAGTAAAGCACATCTGCACTACAACCCGCAAAGACCTTTCCTAAGACTTCCTCACATAGCATGCTCAAGAGTGATCTGAAAAGTGAGAAAGAAAAGCATGTGGGAAAGAAAATTTACTAACAAGATCTGGCAGTGGGTCTGCAGAACTGTGGGAGCAAACAATCCTAACTTTATATGCAAAACGACAGGCTTTAAAAGAGCTGCTGTCATGCAGGAAAGAAACACTGGCACTGCAATACAAGAACATTGGTTCAACACCTGGCAACAGCTAAAGAGAGTAAATTGAGTCTTAGAAATTACTAGAAAAGGGAAATGAAATGTTACTGTGCCTCCTTAAATCCACGGTGCAGCCTTACATACAGACTGCTGCACAGTTCCAGTCTATATCTTAAACAATGACTACAGGTATAAAGTGGCTCCCGTATGAGCAGCTGCTCAGCAGACTATGGCTCACTTCTCACCTTGGGAAGGTGAGACCTGCAGGATGAAACTGAGGAGAGGGATACGTGCTTAAAGCAGCACAGTGGAAACAGGGAATGATTACTCACTGCTTGCTGCTGTGTATAGGCAGAGAGTGGGAGAGACCAACCTGTCCCAGCACACAGCAATGCCTTTTCATACAAGGCACAGCAAACTGTTCTGTCCAACTGCTCCAAACATTCCAAAAATGATTAAACAGATAGACAATGGAAACAAAAGACATACGAAATAATTCAGGGGTGAAAGATAAAAGCATCTCTAGCTCAGGAAAATCTAAGATCCACTGGGAATACAGCTGTGAACAACCTGCAACTGCCCCATTTTCATGTTCAGGTAAGATACTGCACTTAAGAGTGGCTTTTAGCATGTAAGGTGTAAGGTTCTGGACAAATTAAAAACCTAAAAAGCTAAGATTCCAAACAAGCATTCCCTTGTACCAGGTGCTTCATGTAAGCAATCAGCTCAGACACAATTACACAATTTTAACAGAAAACAGCAATGTGAAATCTTTTCATAGTGCAAAGGAAAATATCTGCTGGGCATGATTCCTCTCTAAGCAAATTTCAGAGCAATTCAGAAAAACGTTGAACATGTGAACAAGAAGATTTATAGGTCTGGACTTCTGTATGGGAGCAACGCTGCTTTTGAAACCTCGATTCCTGCAGAAACAAGATTTGGATGATCAGCCTAGGATGACACGGGTCTCCATCCAAGGTCTTCCAAACTGACAGGCTGCTAGTAAGGTAAATGTGACAACAGCGTGGAGAACTTGGCTAGGGTGACATGGGCTAAGGGTAGCGGGGCCAGGACCGCGACAAGCTTAGCGTGTGCGGAAGTTTGTATGGTGAGCCCGTACATCAACACGCCCACGTATCATCAACACCCCAGACCCCACGCGGGGCAGCGCTCTCTGAAACGCTCTCAGCGCTCTCCCCGTGGGACCTGCGAACCGGGAAGGGGCCTTTAACTACAGCACAAGGCTCAACCGGCTCCGCCCTCGGGGGCGTGAGGCCGCCCGCCGGACGGGGACACGCGTGCTCGGGGCTTAGCCGGCTCCGCTCCCTGCCTGTGCCAGACGTGCGGGCGGGACCGGGACACGCGTGTGCAGGGCGGGGCTGGGACCGGGACCCGCCCCGCCGGACGGGGACACGCGTGTGCGGAGCGAGCGGGAGGTGGGACGCGGGCACTTACGGTGATCCTGCCGCGGTAGGTGCTGCGGAGCCCGCGGCACTCGGCGGGGTACACCCTCCTCTCCTGGCAGACCGTCCCGGCCGGCACGGCGGGGGGGGCGATGGACACGCCGACCAGCGCCAGCAACACCCGGCTGTCCTTCAGCGCGAACTCCACCGGGGGCACATCCTGCAACGGCACCGGGTCAGCGCGGCGGGGGCAGGGCAGGGCGCGGACCAGCCGCCCCCCGCCGCCCCACGAACCTGCACGGCGCGGTATACGCCCTCGCTGACGGCGTAGTTGAAGGACTCGATGTGGGCGGTGGTGAGGTCGCGCCGGGCCCTACCGCGCCCCGGCGGCCGCAGCCGGTGCGGGTCCCGCGCGGGTCCCGCCATTGCCACCTCAGGGAACCACCCGGGGACCGACGCGTGCCAGACCCCGCCGCGAGCTCAGGCCGCCGCGTGCGAGGATCGCACCGCCCCCTGCGCGGAGCGCGCGTGCGCACAGGCGTGCGGGCCCCGCCCCGCTCGCGCAGCTTCTCGGCGGCTGATCCAGAGCCGCTTCCCGGCGGACACGCCTGTGCCTGACCCCCGTCCTCAGCCGTGTTTCCAGGAGCTGCGTTCCTCCCAACAGGCGCTCCCAGCAGCCGCTCGCCAGCCGTCTGCATTCCCCCCGCCGCCCAGCCACGCGCACCCTCGGGGCGGAAAGCCCTGACACCTCGTCACCCCCATCGCTCTCTGCCCCCTCCGCACACCTGGAGACCCAAACAGCATCCCCCGCCCACCCCCCAGCTCCCACGGGTGCTGGGACAGCCCTGGAGGTGAGGCCAGCTCGGTCATGCCACGCTGCTGTCTCACGTTTGTCACCTCGAGATGAGGGGTGCGCCAACTCCCGGGAAACACATCACATGCACCCACAGGACATGACTCTCCAGGGACCCGCTGCCCCAAGGAAACACCGCAGGCTGTGGGGTTTGCATGTTTTAATGATGGTTTAGGAGAGATGTGGATAGAGTCACCGGAGATCCACGAACTCAGGCACTTGCCAGCCTCACACGCACATGCTGACGTGAGAGCAGCTGGGGACACGATCCAGAGCCTGGCAGGCGGCCAGCTTGGCAGCGCCCCATGTACCCCACCATCCTCTCAACACCAGGGTTTCCCCAGGGCTGCCACAGCAGACACTGTCAATGGAATATGTTTATGAACCTACACATGGTACAGCATTGCTCTCCTGAAGGAGAGCTGCATGTGGAGAACAACAAATGCTGGGAGCAGGTACATGCAAGCAGTCCTGAAGGGCACTGGCCACAGCCACCTAGACGAAAGCAGCTTTTGAGCCTTTCTTAGACTTGTCCAGCATTCTCTGTGGACTGTGGCCAGCCATCAGATTTTAGCAGAAACACAATACCTGTTGCATGGTAACAATGACTAATGTATATGCAACAAGCCACATCGGAGTTATCTGAAACCCAGAGTCCAGCGGGACCAGACCCTGCTGGAAGACGCAGCCAGAACACCTGGGACAGAAATCCTTCATGGATGACATGAAGGGATACATCTAGGACTAGAGACATTCTGCAATATGGTAGATGTCTTCTAGAAACCCAGCACCATCCTGGGTGAAAGCTCAGGAAAGAGAGTAAGACCTTTTCTATTGACCTTTTAGCTGAAATAAGCTAGAAAACATTTATTGTTGTATATTCCTAAAAAAGAAACAAACAAAAGTCTCACAGGGGCTTGTGAGTATCACTTGCAAGGTGCACCCATGGCTGCAATGCTCAGGCCTCAGCCACACACACATCCTCTACTCCACCTCGTAGCTAGTATTTTGGGCAAAACCTTAGGCACTGTGCTCTCTGTCCTTTATAATTTACGTTCTGTGCTTTACTTTGGGGAGCACTGAGAGAAGGTGGAAAATACACACATTTTCCTCCAGAGGCTGTTGCTTATTCCTGAAAAATTCAGCAAATGGAGGATTCAAGTTTCCTGAAACACTACCTCCCCCATGCCCAGCTTAAAAGGCAGGGTACGAATAACTGCACTGCCTGTAGTCATGACTCTACTGCCAAGCCGAAGCCCCACTTTCAGATGAACAGCAAAAATGGCCAGCTGTTAATCTGCCACAACCAATCTGGGATGAAAAAGGGGGAAGGAAAGGCCTTGGAATTAGGCAGAAGATCTCCAGTCATTTCTCCTGCTGGTGGTACCAGCTGCTCCAGTGGGGGCCACTGCTTTTGCCTGTATCCAGGCAGCTCTCTCTCTTATCCTGCTACATAGCCAGGAACCTCATGTTACTGTGCAGTAAGGGAGTGATTCATCATCATAATTTAACCTCCCCTTCCTTTTTAGGGGAAAAGAAGGATGGGTCTAGCACCCCAGAAAACAAGTATTTCTAGTTCATTGTGTTGGGGAAAATTTTCTGGTCTAACTTCACACTCTGCTCATCTGCCCTAGAGCTTGTGAGAGCCCAGCTGTCACCTCAGGCACATCCTGGATGAGAGCAATTGCTGTGAGATCTCTTTGCTGGGCAAGATGGTATTATTCTTAAATTCACATAAGCTAACACGAAAATGTCAATGGAGATATGGTGAACTTTGCAAGTTGATTAACAACCCTTAACAGCCCACATTTTACCTTGGGACGTTATCGCTACATTTTACCTGGACTGCAGTGAAATTTTTACACCCATGTGCTAAAAACCCAACCACTCCTTCCCCCACACCCCTCTCCCCACTTTATCACCCAGCACTTCCCATCTCATGGAGCAGTGCATTCATGGTCCATCTTCTGAACACCCATGAGGCCCAAATCCAGAGACCAGACCTGGCATTCAGCATCTCGCTAGAAGTGAAGCCACCTGCCAGTACTTGCAGTGCAGGGCAACCAAGCTGCAGCCCCCTTTTCACACAGGTCCTGCTCCCTGTCACTTCTCTGCATGCACCACTGCACTCTGCATCCAGCACGCACTCCGTAGATGCAGATCCATGCTGGCTTCAGGGCGCTGACAACTTCAGAGGTGTTTGTGTGGTTCTTCGGGATGTGCCCTCTCTGCGATGCTTCCACGGGGTTTTGCTAAGCACTCTGTTCCCTCCTGGATTTGAGTGGCCCTGCATCAAACAGTGCCACTTGTAGATTCAGAGTGTGTTGCAATGAATGTCCATCCTGTGATAAAATGCACGATAAAATGCATCACTCCAAGGAGGCACGGATGCTTCAGTCCTGCCTACAGAAAGGTGCCAGGATTGTCTGCTGGCATGAGATGAGTACACCAAAGCACTAGGATCTTCTGAGGAAGGCAGAAATCCCATTGCTTGATTCACTTCCCATTATATATAGGCAGCTTGTAACCTCCACAATCTCTTCTTGCTTGTTTGTTTTGGGCAACATGAACCAGTTAATTTCAGTGCCAACCATCTCTCCCCACCAGAGGCAGCAAAACACAGCTCCCAACACCCCCACCAAAGCTTGCTGCTGCTACAAGTGCCACCCTGCTGTCTTAGGAGGGACTTGCTGGGCTCACACTGAAAATTCAGATACACTTCACAGGGTGGGCACTATGCCAGGGACTTAGGTTATACTCAAAGCAGATGTTAGCTCTGAAATTCAGAGATCTCAAGGAATTTAAACTATCCTTCGCCCCAGAACACCTGCTTTCCCAGTTGTGTGGCAAACAGGAATCTTTCTCCTGGTCTACAAAAGCTCACCCACTTTCCCCCTAGCTGAGATCAAGTTGTGGACTGTGTTCATGGCAGAAGATTGCAATATTTGTCAAATGGCGGAGAATAAAACTGCTGGATCAAACAGGATAAAAATCATTTGGGTTGGAAGGTTTCAGGTTCAAGCCTCAAATAAATCATGAAGGTGAAAGCTGAGAGAAGAACCTAAATTCACAGGTTTCTGCTATTTGAAACAGCACAAAAGTGATGTTAGAAATCCTACAGCCCGCAAGTGAGCTCTCAGGGGCTTGCTCTACCTCTTTTAAACAGAATTAAACTGCATCAGACTGGGATAGACACTGATTCAAATCTCAGTAGGAAAAGGGATAGCTATAAATAAACAAAATCGCCTTCCTTCCTTGGGTTAATTCACCGCCTGCAGTTCAGCACCCTTTTGCCAGCCATTGCCTAGGTGTTCAGCCAACCAGCTTGGAAAATGACCAAAGGAAACTGAATTCTTGGTGTTCCTGGTTTTAGGCACCCTGCAATGCAAGAGAGCTTGCTCCTTTCTATGTAACAGAGCAGGAACAAAGGAAAGGAGTCACCTATTTGGAGCGGAGCTAAGGCACTAATGATGCAATAGGTGAGGAAAGAACAAACACAGCAGGAGGACAACTTCATCGTTCTCTTCGCACAATTCCCTTAAAAAACCCAGTGTTTTCTCTATAGAAAAGGAGGAGCTAATAGAGCATATACAGTATCCCTGTTGGGGTTTCATTTCAAGGTTATTTTGTTGTTCTCCCAGAGAGATTTGTTTCAGATATCAAAGTTACAGAAGCTGTTTCTAAAGTGGATTTTGGTGAATGCAGGCAGAGTTATCTGAGCAGCTCTGGCTAATCACAGCTTTGAGTGGATGCCTGTTTTGTTGTTTTTCCCTGTGGTTTCCAAGAAAATAAGAAGCCTGTCTCTATCACTTTTTGGCATGTTACTGAGATAGGCCACCGAACTGTGCTGACCCCAGGGATGCAGTCTTTCCCTGTTCACAGCAGTGGCAGTCCTGACGTCATCACAGCTTGATGAAGATCGATGATGACTGGCTTATCTTCTGCCCAGTGTCATTGAGGGGGAAAACACTAGAAATGGCTACATCCACAATTCCTTGGCAGAGCTCTGCATACAGCTTCCTAAGAGATGAGAGAGACAGAATCAAATACTCAGGCAGGACAAACCAGCAGACTCCCAGCCAATTTTTATGTAGACATGCATTTTCCTAGCAGGATCTACATGAACCTACTCCCATTACAAGGAGCTGCAGGGTGGCAAACAGGAGGAGGGCAGCATCTCTTCCATCTCCTCCCTGCTTATACTAGCAACCATCTTCTTTTTCAATGGTGATCCTATTCCCAATATTGCTCCCTGCCAGATGGGACCACAAAACCCATTATCTATGTTTACTGTCAGGACAGTCTTCTGAGTGGAGTCTCCACATTCATGATGACTGGGAGCAGACATCTCAGTACCCTCTCAGCCTTCCAACTCAGGGAGTCCTGATTTACTACACCAGACCCCATTCACACGGGGATGTGCCCCAGAGAGACTGCTCCGACGCATTCATGGTTTGATGAAACGCTGTGCCGGGGTGAGGTTATTCACATCAGCTTGTGACCAGGTACAGAGGCTTCACGGGATCCCCAGAAGCATGGGATGTGTTTCACCATGGCACAGATCATACAGAGCAGGATTAGGGAGAAGAGAGACAAGGTGTTTGAGATGAGTTAACAATAGATTAATTTTCTGCTGAAGGAAATACATGTGTAACCTCTCTGAGCATGCTGGCATATGGAACATATTTAGTACCAAAGCTGTCTTTCCTAGGATTAAAAATGTCCTTTACTCCCTGCCTTTGGGGCTACATGACAGCAAGATATTTTTTCAGCTCCTGGGAATGTTATTGCTTTCAGCAGCCAATTTTTTTTTCTTTAAATGGGAACTGTGTGATATGGGTGCTATAAACTAGAATAACCTTGAAGAGAAGCCTAATTTGGCTATTAGCCAAAACCTACCTCAGCTGCTTTCAGTATCTTCCAGTGCCCATAGAGGCAAAAAACAAACAGGGCACTGCTGCAATCCAAATCTACCCAGCAATAACCAAATTCTACCCATACAGCAACACAAGGAGGTGCAAGGCAGTATTGCACCACGGCGCACATGGTGAACAGGGCATCCTGCACCAAGAAAGCTTCCCAAGCCCTATCCCTGAAAAGGCTGCTGAACAGGCTGCGTGGTAGGTTTGACCAGTATTTTTTGTCTACTGTGAGTGGTGATCTAATCTAATTTAATCTAATCTACGTCTAATCTGATCAAATTCTAGTGTACTGATGTACAGCCTGTTCTGTTTTGCTGGGGTTTTATATGATACAGATGCTCATTTAGCAAAGATGCCTAGTCTCAATCACATAATAGAGCACCTCCCATTGTGCCTATGCAAAGATGTTCATGGCCAGGGCTGTTTGGCTGTCCCAGCCTCCCTGTGGCTAGTGGAAGCTTTGACCCAATGTCTGCAGCATCCACTGTGTGCTCTGGGGTCCTGCTGCCTGCAAATTTAGTCACTCACTTCCAGCTGCTGTCCTTAATGCTACTCATTTATTATATGTTCAGTGGCTCCACAAGAGAGACTGAGAAACGATCTGACCCCCAAAGCATTAAATCTGCAACATAACTTCAGCCCAATAGTAATAAAAATGACCCAAGTTATACTCAAACCCATTTGTTCAAAAACTGAGCTTAGTGCCCCATCTCACATGGGAAAGAAGCCAGGGGATACTAAACACAGAGACAGGAGCAATGAACCCAAATCGACTGGCACTTAGACCAGTGTTCAGTGTGGGTTAGCCTGAAAAACTCCCATTTAATTCACTTTCTTCCACCTTTTTCACTTGGAGTTGGGACATAGCCATGTTTTGGGTGCCTCATGTGAACGGTGGCATCACAAGAGTATTATGGGAAGTGATTACTCACTGAGCACACGCTGGGGCCCCATTGACTTCTATTAGCCAGACCTTCAGCTCCTCATCCACCATGAAGTCAAAGCCAAAGAGCTGGAAGCTCTGGTAGTGAAGATGCTTCGTGCTGATTGCAGGCTCTATACACATAAGGCAGCTTCTGTGAAGGGAAAACCAGAAACTCAACATTAAGAGCCCTGTGGACACCTGTTGCACTGCAGCTTCTAGGGCATGTGTATAGTACAGTTAAGTAAAAGGGATTGCCCTGAAAGCGCCCCAAATTACAAGCTATATACAATACGTGCCATGGTAACCAGGTCCCTGCAAGTGAGGTCCTGCAACCATGAAAATACACACGAGGACACCCCTGAATTAACTCCTGAAGAGCTGGAGAGCAGCACCCTCCCTCACTACTCTATCAGGCAAACTGAAAAACATGATGCACAATTAGAGCCTGGAGACACAAAGGGCTGCAGCAGGTCCCCAAGGAACTGCCACTGGACGCTCATTTGCCTCCAAGTCCCTCAAAGATTCTGTCATGTCTTTTTGGTGCAATCAACAGCAATGAGGTACTTGCAAAGTAAATTCCTTCATGAAGGATTGCTTTGTCAAGACCTGGATTCTCTAAAGCACCGTGATCTCTGATATCTCTCTGTAGGCACTTTCTGTGCCTAGGAGGGAGCTGCTCTGTGGACTGAGTATGGTAACCAAGGCCAATGCCATGTGCTGCTGCTTGCTGATGGTGGGGGAAGCATCAAAACCCTGCAGACTCGACGCCAGCTTCATTTCCCCTCTTGCACCTTATACCTTTTCTAATCCCAACCTCTCCTAGCCCTGTCTTTTGCCTGCTGTCTTCCTTTATCACTCCATCCTTCTCCAGCCACAGCTGGCAAAATGCAGATCCATTGACACATAGCACTGAGGAAACAGCACCTATGGAGGTGCTTTTTCTTTGAGCAGTGACACTGGGCTATTTATGGCCTTTTAAATTTAAGAAACTGAAACCCTTCCCTTCTTGGTCTGGCTGCTTCCCCAGCTGTCGGTACTCATTCCCTGTCACTGAAGGGTTATGTTTTTCTAAGGAGCAGGCAGTTGGCTACCTTATTATGTGTTTGATTTGCAGTAAGATGCCATTCTCAAGCGTTGTGTTCAGGGCATCCATCAGATACTGGTTGAACTCCTCAAAGAACATTTCATTCCCTTCCTCATACCGCCCATAGTTTTTGGAATATTCCTTCTGAATGCAGTGATTGGTCAAGTGGCAGGTTTTGTCCTGGAAATTAGCACTGTTATATGGTTCGGAAGAGGTCCGCAGGACACCCTCTCTGTAGAGGTAGATATTATACTGATGATCCACGAGAACCCAGCTCCTGCGGGACAAGAGAACAAACTCTAGTCTCAGTGGCTCAAAAAGTAAAAGCATGAAAAAGAAAACCGGTATTACAAAACCAGAGAAGGTTACCTGATGTCAAACTTGCGATGCCCTGGCTCTAAAAGTAGAGGATTCTCCAGGTATTTCTGAATCACGTGCACTTGTCCCTGCTCGTCGATGAAGTCCAGAAGCTCTGTAGCCTCTGAAGAAATCAGGATCCCTTCTCCTGACACAGAAAGACGAAGACAAAGTTAGGTAGAGGATCATTCTACCTTTGTTGGAGCTTATTTTTAGGCCCCAAGCAGATCATGGCTCATTTGCCCAAAAACCCATGCAACATGCAAGGACCTATGGATGGCATGGTGGCATGAGGGATAAGTCAGCTCTGCTAAAGTTGTCTAATACTTCTCTGGCACTATGCCCATTCTTCAGACATTTAGTTAACTTTTTGGACTAAATCCGATGACTTAGTCTTAATTTTGTGCTGAGTGTTTTGGAGGAAATACTGTGCAAAAAACCCCACATTTCAAGGGGGCAGTGAAGGTATAATACAGGTTTAGAGCACAGGCAGTTTGATAGGATAATCGCATGGAAAATGCTCCTAGATGTGACTTCTGAAGGTCACTGCCAACACAGCCCTGCAGGTACTCTCAATGCTCCATGCTCTGCATACCTGAGTCACAGCTTCTCAGCCCTACTGACCTCCCATTCACCCCAGCATCCTCCACTGAAAGGAAGTCCTGTCACCAAAGTATCTTTCTCACCCATGCTTTATGCAGAAGGCAAGATTTTTTAGTCCCCTGATCACAGCAGAGCCAAGCAGAAACTTGTACTGGCACAACTTCAGGCTGTGCACTGGAGAAAGAAGGGAAAAAATATCCCTGTAAGCCAGTAAAGCCCCTGCAGTATGAAGATCATCAGGCACCCATTCTGCACTGGACAGATGGCGAATCAAGGGGGGGTTAGCTTAACTGTGCACCTAGTCAGCAATCCAGTGAGGCAGCAAAGCAGCTTACATGGGACAGCTGTTCCTTCTCTCAAAGAAGAGACCTAAACCTCTAGCCACAGCTGAAATATCTCAACTTTTAAGTCAGGGCATCCAAAACCTTTAATTTTCCTGTTAGTGATGAATGACCAAGCTTCCACTAGACCTGTCCCAAGCCAGGGGCTGTGCCTGAGCTCTATCTGCCTTGGTAATCAACATCAACAAACTTTCTTCTTCATCAGAAGTAATTCCCAGACACTTAAAACTTCCCTCTAAAAGATTAACATGAGAGTCTGCTTTCCACTTTAATTTGCAGCAGCACACTGATGAATACAAAAAGCTACTCTGCTTTAGTGCAGAAAAGATGGGATCACACTTGAACATCAAGTATGTGGAGAATGTAAACTTCCCCATCTTGGAGCAGACCACAGCAATGGCCTTTTCAATTACTCAGATTGACTTTTTTACTAGACAGTTTACCACACAGAAGCATTTTCCAACACTGGCATAACGAAAGGAGTCATCTCTCCTTCGTTCCTGATGAAAATAAGCATACTCTTCTGATATTTCTTGGTAACAGCCAAGAAAGCAGACCAGCAAAGGAAGCCACTTCTGGCTTTCCCATTCTCTTTTTGCAAGGCTGCATGAAAAATGATTCTGCAAGTATGAGTAATACAAGTGGGCTTGTTCCCTTTGAAAAGGCCAGACTGGGCTCTGCTGCACACATGGCAAGGTAAGTTTTTAAATGAAGCCATTCTAATAACGTGCCCATGATAACACCATAAGTAACAGACAGCACATAGTTATCAAAGCATTGCATCTACAGCTGTGTCCAGCTACCTCATAGCTCATTATTTCTGTAGAGCGAGTGATGTAATGACCCTGGAACAAGGAAGGACACATTATCACTTGGGTATCTACTGCCCTGTTCAAATTAAAGGGACATACAGACACTGCATTGCTTGTCTTTGCTCTGGTACCTTCCCCTGAGGCTTGGGTGCAATTTCAATGTACTGAGCTCATGGCTGCTCAGTTTCTCAGTGTGACGTGGGCAGGCCACTGGCACCAGGCATCTGAGCTTGGTTGAAAGACAAGCAAGATTTCCACCCAAATGAAGCCAGGCTTAGCTGCAGCATGGGGAGCTGCGCTCCTGGCCCTTGATGGCTGCTGTCCTGCCTGCTGACCTCCTCCCCATACCCTGTTCTGCTCCCTCTTACCTCCTGCTCTCCCCATTTCCCTCACCTGGTTCCTACTGCCTTCTTCCTGCAGCACTTTCCCATACTTTGAGGCGCACGTGTAGAAATATGGAGGCCCTATCACTGCCATGCATGTTCTAGGTAGCATGTGCACATGACAATGCTTGTCAGGAGCCCCATGCCACCAAGCAGACAAAGGAGAGCCCTGTGCTGGCTTGACTGGCATAGGGTTGGTAGGTGAAGCCCATCATAGACAGACTAGATATCAGCTTGGCTCAGCCAAACCCCATGACTCTATGGATCATGTAAAGAGTAAGGAATAACAAGAAATAACTCATGGTGCTGGAGAATGAACCTTTGGCACCAGCTGAGGACTTGGCAATCCACACGTTGCCTTCTTTGCCTTCCTGCCGTCTGTTGTAAGCTGCCAAGAAGACTTCCCGCTCATCTGTTCTTGTGTTGTTTATGAGATGGTGAATTCCATTCTGTGCTGGAGCCACGGGGGTCTTCAAGTTTGTTGGGTAAATCACATACGACTCAGGGAACCATGTGCAGGACTCTGATAGCTCAGGGCTTGTCTTGATTAGCCTGGGTGAAGAGAGACAGGCTGTTAATCTCCAGAGTGTTCCCACCTGCATGGGCTCATTTAATAAGAAAAAAATCATCATTAACTGGGTTTTTTTGCTTGATGAGGAATAGCAGCTTACAGATAGTCTGTGCTAAATTATCGTATTTTCCTTAGACCCTTGAAATTATGGTTTCCCTAAAGATACCATAGCAACCCCAACCCACAGCCAAGCATCACTCTTTGAACCAGAACCTGCAGGCTTTCATTAAACATTTTATTGATACCATGACACTAACAGCTGAGAAGTTTCCATGTAACTAGAGCCTGTGGTGCATTCCCTGCATCATCTCTGCACAAGGGAATTGAGGAGGTGTGTTTGCTAACACAGATCGGGGCAGGAAGGATGCAGTGATCACAACTGGCAAAAGGGAGGCCAGAGCAGTAACGTTCTCTGTGCTGGTGCTTAGTCCTTGATCTCATTCGTACTGAGATCTGACCAGGTGTCCCAGTTGTGGATGAAGACCATTGAAAGCAAGGACATGGCTACATGTTTCCCATCCCAAGGTATCTGGGATCCCCCTTGCACCACACAGTCTCCAATCTCTCTGGCACACCCCTTCTACCAGTAATGTCTGGAGATGCCAGCAAACTCCTGTTAGCAGAACCCAGGCCTGTTTTCTTTCACTGTCAAGGGAGCTGCCTGTCTTTCTGAATGCTTGTGCTTTGCTTGAGGCCAAAAGCAGAGCTCATGACACGCTGACTCTCTTTGTGCATTTGTGTTTTTCTGTTGAAATGGCAGTCAGTCAGTGACACCCCAGGAGCCTGAGGAATGTCATTTGTCTTTGGGTTCATAAGTAGCTTCATCCATCATTGATTTGTGCATTTAGAAAGCTCAGCCAAGCTCCAGGTGATAAAAACAGCTGTGCAAGTGCTTTCAGCACTGCCTCTAGATAATGGGCCAAAGAGAAATCCACCTGAGGAGCGCTGTGGGTGCTTAAAAATACTCTGCCAGTTTAAAAAATACTTTGCCAGTTTCTGACACACACCATCACCACTGCCAAAGAAGCAATTGGAAACAGGTTCTTTGCAGGGGAAGGAGAGGCCTGCATCAGTGAGAGGCAGCACAAACTCTCATGTGGAATCAAACGCTGAAGGAGACCAAGAGCTCTGACATGAAGATGCCCTAATGGCTGTAGAGTTTGCACAGGGACGAGGGTTATCTACAATGAAAGCTCATCCATATTTCCCCAGGAGACCCTGGCATGGCAGGTCATGCAGAAATAACTCCCAGAGCTCTTCCTGGAAATGTCTCCAAGCACTTGTTTGACCAACAAATCTGATTAGCTAAAAGCATATTACTGTCTCATCTCTGTATGAAACAGAGAATAAAAGCAGTAGGTTTAAATTAAATGTCTACAAGGAAAAAGAGCAGATATGTTTGGGCTTCTTTTTCTTTTGATTTGGTTCTAATCTGATTCAATACACTCTATGGTTTCAAGCAGATATAACTCAGTGGAAATGGCATTTCCCCTGAAGTTACAAAGATGCCTTTGTGCACAAAGATAGCTCTAGAGACCAGCACAGGAGTCTGAAGACAGCATATGGTAGGACACTCCCAGGGCAGCTGTTCTGTGAAATACCCCCCAAACAGGTCCAACACTCGACAAGGGTTAGAAGAAAAACTGCCAAGCCCATGTAACGTGTCAGCGAATTTCTTACTTCACCAGAGATGCTTTGCGGCACAGCTTGTCTGCTCCCCTGTAGTAATTCACCAGCTGCACAAGTCCAGGTTCATGGCCTAAGAAAGGGAAACAAAGAGGTCAGACAAACTTCTTAAATAATAAAGGGAAAACAGCTGCTTGGTGCAAAGGACCTATGCAGTATGGACCAAAAAAAAAAAAAAAAAAAAGGAGGTTGTTTCCTTGCCCTGCATTACAGAAACAGGTTGTAAGCTGGTACTGGCTCCTGTGGTTTCCTTCTTTTAGTTGCAAAAAACCATGCATTTACCCATTTGTTTTTAATCTGACACATCCATTTTGCAAAGGAAAATAATTATTTCCTCATTCACATTGGGAACTGGCAGCACCATCCAAAAATGTTCTTCATTTGCTAGTTTTTAAAAACTAAGATTTCAGATACTGTTAAATGCAAGTGGAGGATGCAGGGAAGCACACCATGATACAAAGATCATATCTTAGCAAAAGGCCTCTTTTCTTTGTCACGTACAGAATGCCTTCTTGGACCTGGTATCACAAAACACTGGGAAACATTTAAAGATTTGGAATCTTCCTTTCCTCTAGCACTTTGCAGCAAGACCTGTTGGATAGCAGAGGTGGGAAGGAACCTCTGGGAGTCTCTGCTCCAACTTCTTTTTCAGTCAAAGTCTGAGTATCTCTAAGGATGAAGATCGTACTGCTTCTGTGAGTCCTTGTCCCAGTGCTTGGCTGCCATCCTTTGTCCCCTTGGCTATCCCAATGGCCCCTGCTAGAGTCAGTCCAGGGTGTCTTAAGCCTTTCTTGCACTGGGAAGTGCCAAACTGGTCCCTGTATCCAGCTGTTGCCTCACCAGTACCACACAGATACCACACAGTGCCAAACAGATGGGTACTTCCTTATCAATACTGGACTCCACACCACAGCCTGCCTTCTTTCACCTTCTCACATCACACAAACACTTGTGCTCAGCTGAAAGCTCTCTGGGAAGGACACGATGGCAGCAAGTGTCTGAAGGGTAACACAAATCTGGGTAACACTACACAGCCTCTCCCACACAACCAGTGCAGATGAACATGGCTGATGTTCATCTCGCAAGAGGCGAGTGATGCCTGGGGCAATACCTGGGTCACCAGTGACAGCAAATGACAAGAGCATCAATAAGGAAAAGCACAATGGAAAACGGCTCTGGTTTGAAATGACCTTGGACAAGGGGGATCCCCCAAGCATGAGAGTTACTTCCACCTGCACCCTCTTTCCAAAAAAAAAAATGCTTGTGGGAGTGGATTGTAACCTTGAGAAAGGATTCAGAGTTTTAGTTATTCTCCTTGGTGTTTGCCTGGGAAAAAAGGCCTGGAGTAAACAAGACCAGGCAGCTGCAAGATCACAGAGCGTGAATATCTATTTTCAACCCCAAAGTCACGTCCCTGACCTTGGTCACTTTTTTATTCACAAATCTTTAAAAACAAGACAGCTGAGAACCATCCTGCAGAAAAGATCCATAACTTCAGGTACTTCAATGTGCAGGCAGCATGGCCAGGTACTAATTTACTGAGTGAAAATAGTAAAAAACCTCAAATTTTCTTTTGTTTTCAGTTTATCCTGGGGACACACATCCTCATTGGTTTCCCGAGCATCACCAAGGAACAGTGGGCTGCAGTGTAGAGTCTGGTGGCCAGCAAAGAGAGATCACGAGGCAAGAAGGGAAACGTTCTCGGGCATGTTGCGAGGTCTGCACCATGCATTTAGCGGAATTACAAAGCTGCCAAGGCACTGACCAAATTGGTGATCCTCCTGTGGCCAGCAGGGCACAGTCCAGCATCCTCTGCTACATAAGGCCTCTGCAGCCTTTTCCTCCTTTCCCTCCCCTTAGCACAAACTGCTTTTTTTGCTAGATGCAGACACTTACAGATTAAGAGCACAGTCCCCCAAGAATTAGGTTATCAGTGAGAGCAACAGAGGTCCCTGCAGCTGGACAGCAGCAGTGGTGCATGCTGAGAGTCCCACTTCTACCCCTCTCCCAGTGACCCAGCTGAGCTCCTGAGTAACGCAAATCCCTACAGTTCCCTGAATTAACTCTGCTTCCACTGAGTAGAGCCCTTAGGAAAACCAAACCAGCTTTGATGCAACAGTTGCTCGGGAAGACAGCTTTAGGACAATGAACGAGAGAAGATAGAGCTTTTTGGAAGATGTACCAAAATAACCATGTTATTTTTGCTCTGAATGTATTGATTTCAGGCAACTAGTTCCTGCTATAGGAGGATGGTTTAAAGAAGACAGTGCCAAAACATGGTGCCTCTCCACAGGTTATAGATGCATCTTGGCTCTGAGAAATGGTTTGAGTTTTCAGGCATCCTATGGCAACACAAGTTGAAGGGCTTACTGAAGTCCTTCCATCATCCCAGGACACTTCTGGAGGATGGAAAGGGTTAGTAAGAGATGCCCACAAGCCCACCATGGCTTGATGAGCTGTGCATGCCCACTCACATCAAGGAACTGTACTCATTCTGCAGTGAGGCTTGATGCTTGCGGGCTCTCCACGCTGGGCACATTAAAGCACAGGTCTGCTTGCTGTGCCTGCTGTCAGCACGTGTGAGCAGCCTCACTGCTTAAGCCTCTCTCAGTGTTTCCCTGCCTGCTGCAGACACCCCAATGCTGGAAGGTGATCAGATGGCATCACCATGTGGTGGGGACTTTCCACTCACAAATGCATGAGGAGACAAGGGAAGAGGTGCTGGAGCTGGTAACTCGCAAATCTGGAAGAGCAGTCAGAGCTGGGTCTCTACTGCAAGGCAAGGGGCTGCAAAGCTGTCCTGCCCCAAAGCTGCCGGAGTGAGGGGGCTCCTCCTGTTTTGACGTTACTGCAGCCAGAAACAGTGCTGCAAAATCACACCAGGAAGAAAAAAAATAGGGCCAAGATGACAGTGCATCCCTGCTCCCCACCACACCCTGCAACACTGCCAGTGCCTGGCTTGGCTCTCCCTGCTTGTGGGCAGTCCATAGCATTTCCCCTCCCTGCTCCTGGGCTCCGCACCATCCAGTGGGGCAGAGGGCCAGAGTGGCTCTGCTGACAGCCCTGTCTGCTATGGGACAAGCCTGCACAGGGCAGCTTCCAGGGCCCAGCATATTGGCAAGTGTGACAGTGGGGGTCAAGCAGCAGGGGAAAAGGTGGTGGGCCAGGGGGGTGTGGGGCTCTATAATGCAAAGAGCCTCTGGAATTACTGACATCCTGCTCCAGGCAGACATCCTGCTCCAGGCAGAGATTAGTGCTCTCACCCCCACCAAGCCCTATAGAGGCACATCCCCACCAGCCATGACTCTCGGGTGAGGGTTTGAGTGTGCCTGGTTTAGACCGGTTTCCCCACTTGTCCCAAACACCAGAAACACCCCCATAACACGTAAGCTCAGCACCGCAATGTCCCTGCCCAGCACCAGGCAGGGGAATGCCACTGGCACCACTGCACCCCTACGAACCCAAGCTGCGTGCCTGAAGCCCCCTGCAATGGTGCAAACGGCGCTAAGGGCGTTGCTGCAGGACAAGAAGGGCAGTCCGGGAAGCAGGGCTCCACCCGGGGGGGGCGGGATCCTAAGGTCTGCCAAATGCCAGATGAGGGGCCTCGGGCGATCCCTGAACACCCCCCACCCCACCACAGCACACCCTTCAAGCTTGGCAGGGGGTGTTCTGCGGGGTACCGGTGAAACCACTCTCCGGGAACTTGGGAGGGGGATCCTTCGAGTCCTGGCTGGCGCCAGCAGGGCCTGCAGAGAGACATGCCGGGGGTCGGGAGGCGGCTGCACGGAGACCCTTCGGTGCCTGCCCTTTGTTTGGGCGACGGAGGCCAGGGCGGTGACCGAGCCCAGGTGACAGGGAGCCCCGCGCGCGGTCACGGCGACAGGACGGTGACAGGGGCCGGGGGGCACCGCCTCCCAAACCGCGGGGTCTCTGCCGGGAGTGCCCTGCCCGTAGCGGAGGCTGCAGCGAGGACCCCGCCCTGCGGCGGTGGTTCACCGGGGAGGGGAGGGGACAGCGGCAGCCCCGGGCTGCAGGGCGACCCTTACCCAGCCTGCCGAAGGGGAGCCGGTTCCTCTCGCCCAGCATCAGGTTGAAGCGGGGGTTGTCCCTGCGGAGGCGCCGCCACTGCCCGCTGGCCAGCAGCAGCCGGCTCACCTCGGCGTACACGCTGCTGCCCTCGTCCCGCACCACGAAGGTGTACATGGCGATGGGCGGGGGGTGGGGGGAAGGGAAGGGGGGCACCCCGCCCTACCCCCGGCGGCTCTCGGGGCCCCGCCGCAACCCAGGCAGGGCCCTGCGCGGCCGGCGCCGCCCGGCCCGGCTCCGCATGGCCGGGACCGCCGCCCCCGCGCACCGCCCGAGGAGCCTTCCCGGGCGGGGACTGACCCGGAACCAGAACCACCCTCCGGCTCCGGCTCCTCCCCGCCCCGTGATGCCGCCGAGCCGGTGGGGGCGGGGCCGTGCGCCTCGGGCACTTGGCCCGGCCCCGCCGCTTTCCGCTGTGCCTGCGGGTGGGATCGCTCCTGTCACCCGCTGCCGTCCTGTGCTCAGGGCCCGTTGGGGGTGCTCACTCCCCGTGTGGGTCCCCGCCGCTGGGCTCGGATACCCAGCCGTGGTGTCGGTGCTGTGTACTCGTGTCCCAGGGCTGCACCCCAGCTCCAGGTCGTGCTGCAGGCGATGGGCACTGGCAGGTGGTGGTTGCCCTGTGGCCCCATAGCCTTGTAGGGCTGGTGCGACCAACCGGAGACACTGCCAGATCTGAGCTGGCCGTGACCGCACACACGGGCTGCCGTGACTACCCCACGGGTATGGACCTCCTCTGGGAGCCGGGGAACGGCCAGTGTGCAGAGGACAGGCAGGTCCCAGAGGTCCAGCGGGACCCAGACAGGCAGGAGGCAACAGGATGCCTATGAAATTCGGGATGAAGGGGAAAACCAGCAATGACAGAGGCGGGAGCTGGAGGGGGCTCTGGCAGGCACAGCCCTGAGCCCTACGAACAGCTGGGAGGTGGAGAGAAGAGGCTGTTCCCTCAGGGTCATCAGACTGCATCTCGTACTGTGTTCGAGAAGGATCTTGATAAACCAGAGTGATAAACTGCTGCTGAAAAGATAGTAAGTGAAGAAAGGGCCAGTTGTGCAGTCCTACATGGTGGCTGTCCCATGGAGTGCCTCACTTCAGCAGAGACTGTAGCGGCATGCCCTCGGGAGCAGTGGTTTCTGGCGGCACTTTTACTCTGGAAGAAAAAAACGCGTGTTTGGGCTGATGGACAGAAAAGCAGGAAGCCTGACAGCCCGGTCACCACCGGGCTGTCCCTTCATCCACTGCCACCCAAAGACAAGGAATTGCAGGCAACAGAGAGGTTATGTCCCCTCTGCCTCAGGGGACTCCATGTGCAAGGCAGGATGGGGCTGACTCACTGTGCCTTCTCGACGTCCTCAATACCCTCAGGCAGGCACATGTTGAGCGTCTCTGGGAGCAGAAAGGCCACTGCACCGCTGCACACTGCTACACTGCAGTATGTCACCTCTGGCAGAGACCTCCACACCTCGTCCAGCAGGAACACAAGTGGGGCCAAAGCCCCGCCGAGGCGTGCCACAAAGGAGGTGTACCCCATCCCATTCTGCCTGGAAAGGTATAGACCACCATGAGAAAGAGAGAGGTACTTCTGTCATATCAGATCTTGGGAAAAAGTGCAGAATTCTGCCCCTTCCCCTGCATTTTTCTTTAAGTACTGAGGCTTTTTTTGCCCCAGGTATTTCCTCTGACAGTTTTTTCCTAGGGTTTTTTTCCTTCTTTCTTCATATCTTCCTACAATCATAGTATTTCCCAGAGAGCAACTGTAGCTGCTGTGAGAAATAGGTTTGTATCTATTATGAGAAAGAAGCTGCAGTTCCAAATATCTGCTGTAAAGTTATTTCCACCTTAAATGTCTAAAACCCTGAGAGCATTTTCTAGTAGTAAGTCCTCTGACCTACTGAAAGCAAACCCAAGTTCCATCTTTTCCCAGGTATTTCTAGGCAGGTGGCATACACTAGAGATATCTGTGAACACCTTTGGTCCTGTTATAGTGATGAGCCCAGGAGAGCTTGCTGCAGAGACCAAAAATAAGACCTAATTTTGAGGGGGTGGGTGGCATTTCACACCAATAACAAGGATCCCGGGATCTGTTTGTGCATATACAGAACAAGTACTGCAGAAGGAACCAACAGTTATGTCTCTGTCAAGGTCTTTGAGTGAAAAATACGAACCAATCTGAGATGAAAAGTAGCAGATCAGTGTTACAAGTTTGGTTTAAATATGGATCATTTGCCACATGCAACAAACCATTGAAAGCTAAAGAACTAAATGGCAAAGAAGGGTATTCTGGGCATGAAGGGACAGAGGTGAGGTAAGTTACAAGGCCTTCTGTGTTTCATGAGGGTTTTTTCAGACTTTCACAAAGAAAGCAGTGAGGTGGTTCCTTCCACCAGTCCAGCTGTATCCCAAACTATGCAGATGGTAAATCTGGTTTTTTTGTTACTGTTACCCAGACATTTCAAGTAAATTCTTTTTTTCCTCCTGGAAGGCTAGTTAATCCATGCTTTAATATCATCTGATGTCCAAAAGACTCTCAAACATGTGGTAGTATGTGTTCCTTATAAAACTTAATATTTCAAGTTATTATTTTCAGGGTCTTTTAACAGGTGCTAACAGATTATCACAGGGAAGTAAGACTTTACTAAGCACAGATACCTTATGGAGTTCAAAAATCTTCCCACACAGAATACTCCTCACCTTTCCATTCGTCTCCCTATCGACATAAACTAACCACACATAACCCAACCACACATAACCCACAAGAAAAGATGGCTTTCTGCCCCTTTTTTGTGAGTATATGTAATCCCTAGAACCTGCTATTTCCAGAGGCAAGGGACCAATCTGACCAACAGCACATCCTGCTGTGCTGGTATCAAATACCCCACCGAGGCTCTGGGTGTGCATTCAGGTGAGTGGCATCTCTTACCTTAGTATGGTAGGGTAGAGCTCAGAGGTGTACAAGAAGACAGTAGTGAACGCAGCTTCTGAGAAGCCTTTGCCCATAATGGCTACTACAGAACGCAAGGAGGTTAAGGCTAGCGGGAAAGAAAAGACATATGTGACAATGGTCAAAGAGCTGCCTCTAGGAAGAAGCTTCCTGTCGCCTCATGTGTAAGAAGGGAGAAGGTTCAATGCTCTCACAGACAAAACAGGGAGCTTCATAGCCCTGGAGCTGCTGTCTCCAAAGGCTGGATCTGTCAGTTTGTTGTTAGCCCAAATGGGAGCTGAAATGATGAAAGGATAGGTCCTGACATTTCCCATTGTACAAGATCTATAAATAAGATAGGCACTTTACCTTACCATCACTGGGCCCTTCACAGTGACTGGAAACCATCTGTTGCCACCAGATATTAGGGCTAGCCCATATTAGTGACCTTGACTCATAGACACCCCTTAGGTGGAGGACTTTTCTATACAGAATTGCCTGTGAACATGATATATGGTTTTCCTTCTCTAGCACTACACAGAATGGAAACCTCCCCTTTAGCAAGTACTGCATATAGCATCTCACGCTTGGGAATGGCAATGTTGGCTCCTATGCACAGTCCAGTCAGGATGAGTGTCCACGCCTGACTCTGTCGCCGTCCAACTCGGTTCACCAGCACGTACATGATCATCTTGGCTGGAATCTCAATGACACCAAACACAAACTGGGAGAGATAGATGTTGAGCCCAAAGCTAGTCAGGTTCATGCTCATGCCATAATAAGAGAAGGAAACACCAAACCTGTGAGGAGTGTGTAGAGATGGGACTTAGGGAAATCCCTCTGGGGAAATGCAGGATGAATCCCCCATGTGAAGTGATACTGCTTACCACACAACCCCAGAACAAAGAGAGATCTTCCGCAGGACTGGTGTTTTGAACAAGCTGATGTAGAAGTAACTCCCTGCTGGCTTTTTGTCTGTTGCCATCCTTGTCAGGGCCTGGGAGAGATGGAATGAAGGAAATAGCTCAGCTACTGTATTTTTAGGATCCAGACATGAAACCCTAGACTTTGCCCTTCCCAGCTTCAGCTCTGTCTTGGATTTGCCGTGCATTCCCATTGCAGAACAATTCTGTGAGCATACATTGTCAGAGGCATGTCTTCCTACAACTTTACAGATTGCCTACGATTTTAGACCTGTTTTTCTTCTCATGGCCCCTTCTACCCTCTTACCTATATACCCCATGTGGCAGAAAGGGCTGTAGAGAAATGACAGATCATGGTGTTAGCAAGGTCAGTGTTGGTCAGTTCCACCCTATTCACCATGTGGCTTCCTGCTGTTTTATGAGGTCTCAGATAGCAGCTAACAGTGAGCTGCATGCTTTATTTTCTGAGTGCATTTATTTAATATTTTTCTGAGTGCATTTATTTAATCATTTGTACATCTGTTTATATAAATACAGAATACATAAAAAAGTCAAGCACGGAAAAGTGAACCCTGCCCATGAGGAAGAAGAGAGTGCTTATTCACAAAGGCTTTTGGCAACTGATTGAGGAGTAAGTACTAGTGGAGTCGGTGAGTTCTGCTCATTGGTTGAGATGCAAGAGATTCACACAACCACAGGTCTGCAATGCAGCTATACCTAAGCGGTTGCCGTGGGTTCACTGTGTATTTAATGGAGATCTCCAGCAGAAATGATGGAGTTGTTTTACTCCAGAGGAAACAACCGCATTTGCATTTGGTCAGGAGAATTGCGTGCCAGCCCCTGCCAGCTGGTCATTAGATTGCAGTCTAAAGGAGGCTTCAGACAGTAATGATGTGGATACTTACTACTGGGAGAGAATTTTTCTCAGCCTCACTTCACCATGTCCAAAAATCATCAGCAAATGCAGGGTAGGACAGTTAAAACTGATAAGGTTATGAAACACAGGAAACCTTGAGGAGAGAGTCTGCTAACTAGTTATATGTACTTTCAAATCAATATCCTCTACAGAGAAAGCAAAGCCTCAGCTAAAACTTTTGCATAAATACTTAATCCCAGCCACAGAGCTGCATAGGCCACACCATTTTTCTGTCATAAATAAAAAGGGCTAATCACCTCTTTGACAGATATTAAGAAACTGCTTTTTAAAAATTAAATGCTGTCCATTTGTTAGGGTTCTCCTTCCTCTTCATTTGTTCAGACATCTAGCTGAGCAACTTCATTCTTTACACCTT